TTCTGTTGCGGTCTGGGTTGAAGAAAATGGGTGAAATTGAAGTTGCTATCCGTTTTGTTTGTCCATCACTGTTACCAGAAACATGTGCTGTTTATGGGCAGCCAGTGTTACCAAAGATGCATTATCTACGCCCACTTGGGGTGGCTCAACAAGAGGCATTGAGAGGAGCCGCTATCAAAATGGTTGCAGCATGGTTAGCTCGATCCGAGCCACCTTTGGGTCCAGAGGTAGTTCGGTACATGTTGGATGCAGATTCTCACACATGGAGCATGAGGAAGAGTAAGGCCAATTGGTTTCGGATAGTAGCGGTGTTAGCTTGGGCTGTTGGATTAGCAAAATGGTTGGATGATATTAGAAGGTGGAGAAATCCAGTAACAACCATACTAGTCCATGTTCTCTACTTGGTGCTCGTTTGGTATCCAGATTTAATCGTCCCCACCGGATTTCTCTACGTCTTCTTAATCGGTGTATGGTATTATCGGTTCAGGCCTAAAATACCCGCGGGTATGGACACCCGAATCTCCCAATCAGAAACAGTAGACCCAGACGAACTGGACGAGGAGTTCGACACAATACCAAGTTCAAAACCACCCGAAATAATTCGGATGCGGTATGACAGGTTGAGAATATTAGCAGCGAGGGTCCAAACAGTTTTAGGTGATTTCGCAACCCAGGGAGAAAGGGCCCAAGCATTGGTAAGCTGGAGGGATCCAAGAGCGACGAAATTGTTCATAATCGTGTGCCTAATTATAACAATAGTGTTATATGCAGTGCCACCAAAAATGGTAGCAGTAGCCCTTGGATTCTACTTCCTGCGCCATCCAATGTTTAGGGACCCAATGCCACCAGCCACTTTGAATTTCTTTAGAAGACTTCCAAGTTTATCTGACCGTTTGATGTAGTGTACACAGTCACTACACTCTGCTGATCAAATAAAAAATTAGTCAACAATTCTTTTGAAAAATTGTGAAGAAAAGAAGAACCTAGTGTGTGAAAAACTCCCTCTTTTTTTTCCACAATGGTTGAAAAGTGGGGGTTTTCATTACAAACATGGGAAGAAGTGAAAAGTGTAGGGTGAATGGGGCAAGTTGGGATGATTGACTTTTAACTGTTGGAATAAGTTTAAAAAAAAAAAAGAGGAGAGGAGCCATGGGGGCGAGATTGAAGGGGTGAGATTTTTGATAGGACAAGATTTATTTTTAATGTAATTTTGTCGTGAAAAGTATTGACATTGAATTCTATTCCACGAATATAAAAATGAAAGATAATGATATCTTTCTTTTACTGCATTGCAACCTTTAAGACTCAATTATGTTCCAACTTTGACAAGCGTTTTCTGACTCAACTTTTAATTGATACAAATGAGATATACAGATATATATATATATATATATATATATATATTAATATTTGATTGCATATAGCTATTTTGTTATCGAGGTAGGAATAAGATCTATGTGCCTCTATTTTCTTCCAAGACTTCGAGCTTATGCTTGAGTATGTTATTGTTGCTTTTATGTCATGACCATTAGGTGCCATTATACACAGTAGTCAAGGCAACTTGATAAGTATCAATAAGTCATTTTAGGTGGCATTTGTTTGAAGAACAGGTGAAAGAATGAGAAATTTTTTTAGTTACAAAGACTCATAAAACTGATTAATGTTTGGGAGAAAAAGGGAAAAAAACAGAGAGTTGTGTCATTATGTGGTATCCTTTGAGAATTGAAACCAAAAGGATTTATAGAAATCTTTTTGTCTTATTAATCTTCGATATAATCAACAATTAACTTTAAATTTGATTTCTAAATTAGTAGTATTAATGTTCGTTTCAATTTATGTGACATCGTTTGATTTGACATAAAATTATTAAAAAAATGGGTAGTCTAAAACAAACCTTATAGTTGTTATAACCCATCTTTCTTATTGGGGATAAAAGAAGAATTTTAAAATTGAATCATTTCTAATTATATAGAGACGATATTCTATTTTAGACAGATTAAAAAATGAAAATGTGCCCCTGGCCGAGGGTATCTTTCAATTTATCACATGATACAGAATTATAGCCTACATTAAGCCTACAGGGCGTTCGGATTAAATGTAGCATGATTTGTTGGTTATATGATTAGCCAATTCTGAAAATGCCTACACCATTCAATTATGTTTTTTCTTTTTGTATCCATGCCAGAGAAATAATAGGGCCATGGATGGAGCTTCTCAAATCTTGTTGCCTTATATATTTTCAACACAAATTGACCATTGTTGAAACCATTTCAGCTGTGTTAATCCATCATCAAATAGAACTCGAGTGGTAAATTAAACTAGGAAAGGTAACAAATGCCAGAGTTGGATGATACAGGAAAACATGACGATTCAACGAAAACTAAAAATGAGGAAATTTATGATAAGAAGGAGAAAGAAGATAAGCATTCGGATGAAGACGATAAAGATGATAAGGAAGATAAAGATAAGAAGAAGAAAAAGAAGGACAAAGACAAGGATGAAAAAGATAACAAGAAGAAGGATAAAAAAGAGAAGAATCCTAATGATGAAAAGGACTTAGAAAAACTCAAACTTAAAGTGGAGAAAATTGATGCTAAAATGCAGGATTTGGAAGACCAGAGAGAGGTTATTCTAGAGTTGTGTAATGAAGCTGGGAAAGTTGCAGCCAATGCAACTGTTGCTCGCCTTCAATTCGATCCCTTATCGAGCCACTTCACCAAGAAAAAGAAAAAAGCAAAGTGATGCTTCTCTGTTTTTGTAATTTTGTATGAAAATTACACATAGTGTCTATAGAACCCTGCCTAAAGCAGATTGCATTTTTTAGATAACAACATTGTAAAGAGGATCAGATAATGAATGAACAGATGATAGGAAAATAAGTACTGTAAATCAGTTGAATTACTTTCACAATATTGTTTACGTGCATGACAGTTTAACACTGATATTTCAAACACGATTGTAGTTTCCATCAGGGCTCCAGTTGTTTCCAGAACTTCGTATCCTGCAGCTCTCGATTGGCTTGTTTGAAGAACAAATTATCCTAAATCTGCATTTCGAATGATAATTAAGTATTATACAGTGATTAACCGTATAAAGTTGAGTTATCTAGCAATACACCAGTTCGCAAAAAGGGAAAAATATTCTTCTGTATAACAATGCAACATTACCAAACAAGTGATTGTAGGTACCTATTAAAGGATCTGTTGTTTACTCTTGTACTATATACTGAAGGGAAGCTTCCTAAGACGTGAAATTTCGATTTCATAAGGAAGTTTCATATTTGTCCTGTAATTACCTTGCTTGCAGATATCAACTTCAAGCGTCATTTTAAAAAGCAATGATAAACTAACAGATCAGGACCTCACTCTTGGGGATTTAAAAAATAAAGATGAACAAGCAGCCAGGAATATTTTCTGATATTGGCAAAAATGCTACAGGTACTTGCTGTCATTTATTTCAGCTCATCCAAATTCAAAACATTTGCTAATGAAAATTTTAAAAGATGTCCTTCTGCTTTTGATTTCTGTCGCGTTTCAATGCTGGAGAATCTCTGAATTCAAATATTTATATGTTACTTGTTTTACTTTAGATCTTCTGTATGGAGATTATATCAGAAAATCACCAGTTCACAATTTGCTTGATTGGGGCTTATACTTCAAATGTCAAGGTATTTATTGTTATTATTTCCCTTCTTTGTTCCTCCTTATAGTCTGCTTTCTGAGAATTACTGTATGATCATTGTAGTTAATGACATTGTACCTGGATTAAGTTCACTAGTCAAGTTGAGTGTACCAGATCAGAGGTCTAATAAGGTTAGAATTTTTCTCTTCTTTCTATATATGAGAAGTCTATTTTTCCTTTCTTATGCCTACATCTGTATGGACTAACAGGTGGAGGTGCAATACATGAATAATTATTTTGGAGTTGCAACAGGCATCAGTTTGGAAAAAACCCCACTGTTGAGTCTCTCTGGTGTTACAGGAATTGGATTTTTCAGTATTGGAGCTGAAATCGCTTTTGATACAGCAACGAAAACACTGGCAGAATGCGGTGGTGGTTTGAGCTTCGATACTGACGTTCTCTCTGCTTCACTCACTCTGTAAATGTTCTCCAGCGTGATTCGATATTTCTTCTTTGAATGCCACATTTTACTCTTGCAAAAGTTAAGAATGCTCAATGTTCTGATGCAAGTGAAATTTGCAGGAGCAATAATGCTGATACCTTGAGAGCTCACTGTTACCGGCCGATTCTACCCTTAACAAGCACTGGGGTTGCAGCTGAGTTAACACATAGATTCGTCAACAATCAGACGACTCTTGCACTGGGGGCTCAGCATTGCCTGTTTCCTTGCATGCTGATTAAAGCTCGAGTTACAAGTGATGGCAGTTTGGGTGCTCTTGTCCAGAACAATATTTTCTCAGCACTCTCTCTGAGTATTGGAGCAGAGATGAATGCCATGGATGCAGCGAATACTGCTAAACTAGGGCTTGCTCTAATTTTTAATCCCTGAGTTGTAACAAAAATGGTAGTCTCTCTTAGAGTCGTATTATCCTCGAGTATTCCTATGACTATTTATGCATGCTAAGTCCATATCGATGGATTCAGAATTTGAAGTTTATCGGTTCCTGCAATAACATCAAGTTGATATCGCAATACAATTAGCTTCACAATCAAATATTTATACATAATTTAGTACTCTGAACTTCTTATAAGCTGCATGTTTGAAGGCAGCTAACTCAAACCGTAAGTAAATGATTGAAACTACAATGGAGACGATAATGCGATACCAGCAAGAAATGAAAATTTGTGAATCTTCTTCACTTGCTAGCAATCTAGCAATACACTAAAACAAATGCAGACACCATGCAATGATCTGTACTCTTTCTGAGAGATATTCAAAAACTAATCAAACGTTTGAAACAGCATCAGAAACAAAATTTGCTGAATTTTGAGGGACTAGCAACTAACATTGAATTAACATTTCCAATCAGCAAAACAAATCAATAAGGAATATATGCACGAAGCTTTAGGTTGAATAGGCAAAGATGTACAATGCTGTAGAACAATCTTATAGAACCTGAAAATACTTTTTACACAATACTTTAAACATTCAAAACCTTACCAAACTGGTTATAAACATAGATAGTCATAGGATTCACAATCTCTAACAAAATCCCTTCACCACATATTTCCATGTTTTTAAGAAAGAAAAGACTAACTTGACAAAAACTTGCTTTGATATGAAATCCATCAACATTCATGAGCAACAAAGATTTAATGCCCAACAGTAGCCTGAAGAAGTCCATCACGAATCTGCTGTGCCACCTCTTTTACAGCACCAGGTCCATGGGGGATGAAGACAGCGGATGATTTGCTGGAAGCGCCAATTTCTTTCATGGTGTCAAAGTACTGGGTTACGAGGACCATGTCCATAACATCCTTTGCCGTAGTTCCAGGCACATTGACTGAAAATCCTAGCACACTGTCTCTCAGACCATCCACAATTGCTTGACGTTGTCGTGCAATACCTAATCCTGAGAGATACTTAGACTCGGCCTCTCCTTCAGCCCTCTTAATTTGCAAGATCTTCTCGGCCTCTGCCTTCTCATTAGCAGCCACCCTCAGCCGAGCAGCTGTAAAGTTGAAAATAGTTAGGACATGAAAATACTAAGGAAGCCCCAACAAGAGTATCAAAATTTTCAATTTGGCAACCAAAAATTCTCATATTTCCACCCATCAAGCCTTTGAGTGTTTGTCTACTCTACACACCAAAATATTAAGTAGAAGAAAAAATAAACAGACTACTCTTCAAGGTGCTTGGTAGCAACCGATGTAATTACAATTCCTAAAACTGCTACGTTTTGCATTCATGTTTAAATATCTTTATCCACGAAAGATCATTATAATGGGTAAATGGAAAATCCTTCAACTGGATTTTATACTCCGTTTCTACTAAAACAGTAAGAATGTAAGGCAAGGCTGAATCAGAGTAAAAAAAAATTGTTTATACCAGCATTGATTTCATTCATAGCTCTCTTCACATGCTCATCTGGTACTATATCAACGATGAGTGTCTGAACAATTTCATATCCATAAGCTGACATAGCCTGTAAAAGAGCAAGAACCCATTCTTATGGATCAAATTAATGAATAAGATCAATGTTTCCAATGAAAAATCATCAAGAATCCACTTACTTTCTCAAGTTCCTCCTCAACAGCCTTGGCAATTTCATTTTTTTGCTCAAACACATCATCAAGAATGAGTTTAGGAACACTAGCTCTTATGACTGACGAAATAAAGAACAGACAAGTCAAAATCTGTCATATCTTATTAAAAATTGTATCAAATGAGCAATCATTAGTGCAGGGAATAAAGCGAAAATTTCGTTACTGACCATCAAAAACATATGCCTGAATCTGACCCTTAGTGTTACTTAGCTTGTAGAAAGCTTCATTTGCTTTGTCGGCAATGGCACGATACTGAATTGATGCGACAACATTGACAAATACGTTATCCTGAATATCATAGCAATGAACGTATTAGCATAACTCATAACTTTGGACAAACTTACACCTACTAAGTTTATGCTATAATTAAATAGTGTATGATGCTACCTCATATATTTCAAGCCAAACTAATTCAGAGAGAGGAGTTAAAAAAGTAGACCTTCGTCTTGGTTTCACAGCGCACATCTAGTTGTTGCACCCTGAGGGAGAGATGACCAGCCAACTGGCTTCCGAGGAACCAAGGCACACAGTGGCACCCTGGCTCAAGCACATCCTGATACTTGCCAAACTGCTCCTTAATTGCAACAGTGGATTGATCAACTTGAACACAACAGAACAAATTGCCCATATTCTGGAAACACAGCATAAAAAACAGATATTAAAAGTGTTTAATCAAGAAGATATCAACATATTGACCCACTAAACCAGCTCAAATAACATCAAAATCAATTGGATCAAGTATACTCATCTTTATAACACTAACTAACCAGCAATTAAGGGAAGTTTCAGATTCCAGTAGAAAAGTTTAACCTCCCAGAAATTTGTCAAACACAAAATTAGACAAAAGATACACCAGTTTACAGATTCCACTTGAATACCAAGATCAGAATTAGAAAGGAGCAATTTATAGGGTTTCATCCCTGTTTATTCTTTCCCTAAGATAACATGTCATTAAACAAGACAACTTTTAGGAAAGAAGGGCCCTTTTTTCTCCGGGTACAAGGCTCTATCAAAAACAACCTCTCTATCAGCGCAGGTAGAGTTAAGGTAAGGCCTAAATACACTCACCCTCCCAGACCCCAATTGTGAGGATATCCAGTATATGGTACAACCTATCTACCCTCAAGATAGCGTTAAGCTAAAGTCTGCATACACCCACCCTCCCAGACCCCACTAGTGAGAGTAAATATTCGGGGTATGTTATCATAGAAGGTTTCTTTCAAGAAGTTCACAAACAAGAACCTTATAATCTCTTGATAAACCCAAACCAAAATACCAAAAAACTTAACTTTATCACTGATATGCCAGCAGAACTTAAAGCCACATCCCACTAATCGACATTAACGTTTCATTTTCCCCGTTAATTCTCAAAAAAAAGGTTAAGAAAATTTAACCTCATCAAAACCCAAGAACAGTCGCTTTCAAACCAAGAAACTCAAAAAACCCACAACAGTAGAGAAGTTAAATACCACTTTCTTTATACAGTTTTTCTCACAAAATGACACAAAAAACGACAGAGAAAAAGAAAAGGGGAAACAACAGAAAAAGAATTAAAAATAACACCAAAATCAAGAAAATCATGAACTACGCATACAAATAAAAAGATTGTATTTATTTTAAATATTCACGCAGAGGGATCGAGTGGGGTAAAAGGGGAGAAGAGACTTACGAATTATGAAACAAAATCAAGAACGGCAGAATAATAAGAATTCACAACTCAGCTTTGAGGTTATAGCCTGTACATATATTATATATATATATATATATATATGCGAAAGAAGATCCCAACTGGGCCAGAAAATGCGTGGAAATTCAGTTATTTCTTTGTCCGTGAAGAATAAAAAAGGTTTTCTTTTAGATAACTAAATATATTTATTTCACTCCAAAGCATTAAGCCAACATTAATTTTATTCCTCTGAAGTATATCCATTGGAGGACGTGTTTAGGATTGATTTATTATTTATATTAATGATGGTAAATTTTTAAAAGAAAAAATAAATAATGGAGGTATACAATGATGTATTTTTTTTTTAGTCTATTTTTAAATAGTAATTTTCTGATGTATTTTTTTGGTCTGTTTTAAATAGTAATTTTTTTCTCTTTTGATAAAATTTTAATTTCACTTTTTCACGTAGTATGTTTCGCATCAAAAAATAAAATAATATTTTGATATATTTAAAAAAAAAATTATTTTCTTGAAACTTCATCCCAAATTAAATTAATTTTTTTTTTTCAAAATGGAGATAGTAATAATTCTATTAAAGCCACTGGCATGCCCAGAATTTTCTTCCAAGGGTTTAATAAATAAAAATATAAAAAACACTAAATAAACACTAAGAAATGAAAAACATGAACTTTCACGTATAGCAAACAAAAAATTCATATTTGTATGCTATAACAAACTTTGCATAATTGCGCTCCATAGCAAATATAAAACTGTATAATTCGCTATACATATACAAGTGTATAATTTGCTGGCCTATTTCGCTGCAATTGTATAATTCGCTATCCTATTTCACTGCAATTGTATAATGCACAATTGTATAATTCACTGCCTATTTCGCTGCAATATTAAGTGTATAGCAAGAAGATATATGTTTTTCTCTCGCTTTATACAAAAACAGATTCACAATACATACACTTCTGTTGTATAAAGCTAGAGAAAATTGTATTTCACTGCAATTGTATAATTCGTTGACCTTTTTCTCTGCAATATTTGAAATAAAATGTTTGTAAATTGTATAATTAAGTGTATAACACGAAGATATATATTTTTGCATGTGTATATACAATTTTCTCTCGCTTTATACAAAACAGAAATAGAATTATACACTTCTGTGTATAAAGCGAGAGAGGCGAGCAAGAATGGAGAGTGGCGAGCGAGATTTCTAGGAGAGAGACGCTGGCAAATTTTAGCTAACGTTTGCTATGGAGCACAATTAAATCAAACCCTAGCTATTCCATTTATTTTAGGTTATTAGTTTGCTATTATATACAATTTTCTCAAAAAAACACTCAGAAAAATGAAAAACAAAACTGAAAATTAAAAAAAAAACACTCTGACTGGATTTGAACCCCAAAGTGACACACAATATAATTTCTAACACAACTTGTTACTGTGCTTAACTTCTCTTTATTATCAAAGAGATTTCAAAATATATATATTTATAGAAATATTATTTTATATACACGGTATTATTTTTTCGAGGGGAGCCGCTCCTGATTGAGGCCGTGAAAATTATCATTAGCTGTTGAAATTTTTGAAATCCGAATGAATATTTTGCATCTTTCTTACACTTAACTACTTGGTTTTGAGTTTAATTAGGCATAAGAAAATATTCTATGCTACCAGCATAATCGAAATGACATTAAAAAATAGTCTCCATTGTTATTAGATAGATATTTCTTTTAATATTAGTAAAGTAATAAAGTGAATTTCCTTTTCTCCATTATTTCTTTCTTTAATTGGATGAAAAAATGTGTAGCACGTCTTAGCAATGGATAAAGACATTTTTTATGCTACAATTATGCAAAAAAATAATAAAAGTGGTCATCAAACTTGCTATTCTACAGGTCTACATATTAATAGGAATTTGATTGATGCATAAAATGGTATTGACTTTAGATGAACACGAAGACTTCAAAAATTTCCACGATGCATCGTGCATCTTACTATACCTTTAAAATATTTTTCTATAAAATGGAAAAAAAAATTTAAAGTGTAAACAGAGTCTACATATTAATTGTTTTGCCAATTATATTATGGCTATGAAATTCTTTGCGGCTGTCACCATAATATCCACGCAATTGCAACTTACATAAAACTTAGATCCTATTGTATATGAGTTATATTTTTAAAAAAATATATTTATTTCAATGGTTCAATTTAGAAAATTCAAAAAGCAATCTGCTTTTTATATTTTATTTTTATCATTTTTATTAAATGAGTTATAGACTTATAATAACAAAAATATAAAAGGAAAATAAATCATCTCATTTATTATTCTTAAAAAGTGTGCTATGATAACTAAATAGAGAGTATTACTTCCGTTCATTTTTAATTGTCATAATTTTTTTTTAAGTTAGATTATAAAAATTTGTCTAACATTTTATGATGTATTTTTCTTCATGTATTAATATACAAAAAAAAATGCAATTTATAGTTTTTTTTCTATAATTTTTTGATATATAAATTTTTTATTAAAAATATCAAATTAATGTAATTTAATCTCATTCTGAAATTAATCAAACTGTCTTTCAAAAAAATAATTACTAATCTAAGTACGTATATTATTTTATTAATCTTCGAGGCCAAGCTATCATTTATAATTGGTTATTTCTTCTCGATAGCGATTTTCGTGATTTGTGCATGATCAAAGACCCAACTAGTGAACTAGGCATGTGTTGGACATGCCATATGAGCCTTGTATTTCTAATAATATGAGTAAAGAAAATCACTAAAGTTGTAGCAAATATTAAATAAGAAGTTATTGTTTTAAAATGCAACATGTTAAGAGCCTTAAAAGTCAAATCTTGATGTCGATGATAATATAATTACTGATAGGTGAAATTAAAGAGTAATCGTAAACTTAAAATAAACAGATTAATATTTTTATAAAAATAATTTTTATCAGTCATAAATATACGCATTAACATAGAAATATATTATATATACGATTGATATATTTTTGAGTTATTCTATGGACTGGTACCTGCCAAATGGAGACCACAAGCTTAGGATGTGATGACAACAATGTTAAATTTCTTCCAAATTGCATCGCAAATCGAATATTAACAAAGTCTTTAGACGAAATTGAAAGATACTATGTACAGGTAAATCCCCAAAGCATGTTAGTTTTGTCAAACAGGAAAATATATATATATAAAAATGGTCAAAGGATCCAACCTGGTGCTTTATGTCAAATTAATTATGACTAAGAGATTATTCTATTGGAAATTATCTGGTATGAATCATGATTGTGTTTAATAAGATCATTTTATTATCCTAGTTGACTTGACCATTTTACTATCCATTAAGAAAGGTTGATATGGTGAGTTGGCATATTATAAAATGGAAGATATTAAAGGTATATATGTATTTACGTAAAAAAATATTGTATAATTATAAATAGTAATTTGTTTATAGTTTTATGGGTAAAAATTTTTTTCTATAAAATTTGACATAGTAATAACAATTTCAGTCAAAATTAGAGTATTTTTCAGATCCTTTTCTCTAAAATTTGATATAGTAATAACAATTTCAGTCAAAATTAGAGTATTTTTCAGATCCTTTTCCCTTGTACCTTAAAAGTCATCCATGTTTGAGAAATTGCTTAGAAATATTATTTTTATTAATTTTGAGGAAAACAAGAATAGTTGAATGATATTGTAATCCTAAACAAAATAAAAGTGTAATTTCAACACAATTTCTCAAACATGATTACTATTTGGAGAAATTAGTCGCATATAAGTTGATAATATAACAAAAGATTATAGTAAATCTTTTTTAATAAGATAGAGAGATGTGAATCATTCAAAACAAAAATAAAATAAAATACTACATTAACATTAAAGCCAAACGCTACATGATGAGTTTACACTTAAATCAATTGTAGTGGAAAAATTTGAAGCACCAATTTATGTGTCCTGATTCTCAAAAGTGAGTTTGAGGAATGGTTAGACCCATAACAATTCCTTGTACATTACTCGTATATACTCTAGCCTGATTTTCATAACCTGAACGGATATCTATGTCCTCCAATACTATACCCGTACAGGGAACTGACGCGCTGCAATCCAGCTTCACAGCAAATTCCCCTTGGGATGTTCCTTGTACATGTCTAAAAGTAACATTACTAACCTTTACTGCTGAATCCTGCAACAACCATTAAACTAAACGCGTTACAAGTCTATTATATTTCATAACTCAGAACCAGAACATTTTAAATAAAAGTTACTTACATGTTCTGTACAATATTCCCCATCACAATAGAATTGATCGATAATAATAGGGTTATACGAATCTTGCGTCCTTATTCTCTCGAAAATTATGTTACTAGCATGACCTTTGCCTCCCTGATCAAATAAAAACGAAAAAATTATATCAAATAACATACCTTGAAAATAGCTATGCTCGATTTTTTTTTATAGCTCAATTTACATACAGTAACACGCTACTTTACCTGCCATGTCTTAATTCGAGCACCATTTGTAGAACTTATGAACAGGACATCACTAACAAAAATGTCTTCAACATTGTCATTAGATCCATGCTTGCCTAGACTTCCAATACTGCATTCAGATTCAGTTTACGTTCAATTACTAACCTTATACAAAAATTAAATTCAAGAGGAGATAGATAAAAACTAACCTTATACCATGTCCTGGTCCGCATATTATGTTGCTGATATTCAGATGGGAACATCCATCAACAATTGAGATACAATCATCTCCTGCATTTTCATTTTACGCGATCTTTACAAAAAATCAAAATTACTGTGAATGAATATATAATATGTATGTCCAAAATTACCAGTTCCAATTTGACAGTGATCAATGATAACATCGCTGCTGCCTGAAACATGAATACCGTCAGTATTAGGACTCTCTCCTGGTGCATCAATGGTTATGTTTGTGACTCTGGCAGATTTCGATTTCTCAAAATGAACATGCATGCGAGGGCTATCGATAAATCTCAGTCCCGTTAGACTGATGTTTTCTGAATGTGAAATTTCAAAAGCCTACAAAAGAATCCTGTTATTAAATGTCAAATTTATGTTAATCATGTTTAACTGAGCATAACAAACTTACAGTTGGCCTCAGGCGGTCCTGGAAATAGAGGTGATAAAAAATGTTAGAATTGTAAAACAAAAACAAGGTAATATTAAAAACAAAAATTTACTGAATTGACTTACATTTACATTCCACCAATTGTATCCACGACCATTAATTGTTCCATTCCCACGTACCGTAAGGCCGTTGGCATGTTTAAAATGGATCCACTTATCACAACGTTTGTCGTAACACCTCCATCTCGAAGGTTCTCTAGGTGCAGTTATATTTCCGTTTATCTGCAAAATTAGTTGATTAAAAGGTAGGAGGTACGTAGGCCGTTTGAGCATACGACATGAATTTTTGATATAAGATCTGAGTTGAAGTTTTCGTCACAAGTTGTGAGACTATATACATTTTTCTCAATTCTAATACAATCTAGAGTTACCAAATGAACAAACCATAATTCAATCAAATATGATAACATATAAATCACATAATCATTTACAAATATACATAATTTTATAAAACCCACTATTATGACTAGTTATTCTTAAACATCACTTTTTCTTTTCACATCTCTTCAGGTCAAGCAATAGTATTATTTATTTCAAAACTTAGAATGATGATTTTTTTTTTGTTTATACAAAATATATAAAATTATAGATTAAGTTTGTAAATTTTAAAAGAAAAAAAAATGAAATCATTACTTGAAATCTCAAATTATGTTTTTTTAGAGAATACGAAATATGAAATTACACACTGATTTAGACATACAATAACCAAATTAATATAAAGTTGAAGTTTTGTTAAGTTTTATTTATTCTCATAAATATGAAAACTAAAAAGTTGTAAAACTATGATTTCCCCACTAATTTTTATGTAGAATTTTATCAAATGAGTAAAATCATAGTTCATAAGTAGGATAACAAATTATTTTAAGACACCACAATATATTGATATTGTATGCTCCTTTTTATTCACAAACTTTCAAATACACTTAATTTTATAATTCACTAATCAACAATAATAGTACCTAACTACTGAAGTTTTAATTAATATAATCTTTTCATACGTACAAACAACTTATTTATACACTGATGAATTACAACAGGCAGTTAACGAAGTACCTCAACAGTGAGGCCTGCTGATACGCAAGGGCCCTCCAATTTTATAGGATGAAGCAAGAACGTATTTTCAGAAGGTACGTACATTATCGGAGAAGAAAACGATGATGTACATGTTGCTTCCCATGTTTTGATGAAAGCCTATAAAACAACACACACACACACACAAAAAAAGTCCATAAATACCTCCTAGTAATATCTAACATTATGTAATTATTATGGATTGTTTATGTCTAAATTACATTGGTTGCATCGGTTAAGCCATCACCAACTGCACCATAATCAACAACATTAAAGACTGGAAAATCTGGAGCTGAATAAATCAGTGAAGGCAGAAGCGAAGCAACAAAGATTGAGATTAGCATCTTCATAATGACCATCTTATGAAAAATCAGAAAGTTAAAGGAGTTTTTATAATACAATTTTAGGAATTATCTGAATTATGAAGTGTTTTAATCCTACTAAAACTAGTCTAGCTTAATTCTAATTCGACAAAAACTAGGAAGCAATTGAAAATCCAAGTCCATGAGTTAATTGAACTAAAAGATTTTTTTTTAAAAAATAGCATGAGGGAAATATGAGGAAAACTGAGGGTACATTTGGAATTTGAATATTTTGCGATATCTCGGTCCTGCAGATAGGATAATGTGGATTTTGATTGGTGGAATAATTTGGAGCCATAGATTTGTACAGAGAAGAAAGGGAATATGTGAAGCAACAATCGAGAGAAGGTGAAACTCTTGTTCAATGGCGGCTGCAACAACTTCTTACCTGAGTAACTTGGAGCATGGCTTTAGTTCCAAGCCCCGATTTCGCCGCCCCTTAATTCCCTCCAATACCGCTCCGCGAATATTGGCCATGGCTCCTAAAAAGAAGGTATCAAATATCATTCTATATCACTATTTTTACATATTTACACCATTCTAAATATTCTTAATATGTATTTCTTTTATCTATTGGATATTACTAAGCACACGGAATATTTCTGTTTGGCAACCGCAAATCGGAAGAACAGTAGAACAGAGAGGCCAGAGCTAATTAAACATGAATTTGTGGTGAAATAGAACTTCTGCTCTGAATTTGACTTTTGAAGTTTGTTAATGATGTCAATTCTTTTGAGCTCTTAATTGAATCGATGTTATGTAATCTTCCGCTATACACTTTCCAACACATTCTTGAGGTAGAGATTAATGGAAAAGTTTGAGTTGAATTCCATCTTCACTCATAAAAAACAAAAAAATAAATCGATCTCTAGCAACATAAATTCTCTTTTTAGAGGAGTTGGGACCATATTTGACGCTCCCATAAGTTGAGCCCGATGGATTTATTGAAAACAATCAATTTAATCTCATAAAGTAAGTTAGGGGTCAAGTCATATCTTACCAATCCAGACTATTACATTTGGGGATGTTGTGTTACAAGCGGAGTTACAGAATATGTAATATTACAAACTACTAATAAGAATCACTAACGCAGGTGAACAAGTTTGATGACAATTGGAAAAAGCAATGGTTTGGAGCGGGACTATTCTACGAGGGCAGCGAACAAGTGGAAGTTGATGTGTTCAAAAAATTGGAGAAGCGAAAAGTTTTGAGCACTGTGGAGAAAGCTGGCCTTCTATCAAAGGCCGAAGAACTAGGATTTACACTCTCATCCATAGAAAAATTAGGGCTATTTTCAAAGGCCGAAGAACTCGGGCTGCTCAGTTTGCTGGAGAAGTCAGCTAGTTTCTCTCCTGCTGCTTTGGCATCGGCAGCTCTTCCAATTCTAGTGGCAGCTATTTTAACAATCGTTTTCATCCCCGATGATACCGTGGGTCTTGTGGCGGCCCAGGCTGTTTTGGCTGGAGCCCTCGGGTTGACTGCAGTCGGGTTGTTTGTTGGGTCAGTGGTTTTGGATGGGTTGCAGGAGGCTGATTGATTGACCATCGGTTTCATCCAACCTCACCTGAAAAATATGTAATAAAGGGATAGTTTTGTAGTTGTCAGTGAGATTTATATGGTCAATCTCAATTTATTAGTGTAATTATTGTTGTTGTACACACTCAACAATTCCTAATCTTTATGGTCATGAATTCATTTTATGTATGTGAAGCAGTATAGACAAATTAATTTTTGAAGATTGTGTAGTAAATTTCTCAATTTACAAAGAAATGATTTTGGCCTGCTATATTTTTTATGAACAAAAGAAAACAATTGGAGATGCGGGGTATCGATCCCCGTACCTCTCGCATGCTAAGCGAGCGCTCTACCATCTGAGCTACATCCCCTTGCTGTTACGAAGCCTAATAAAGTTATATTTATCCTCAGCTTCTGTTACTGAATTGCTAATTCCATGGCTCTGTAATTTTGCAGCATCAATTTGACGGCCTCGAAGGTAGTGCAGAGCAAGGACCGCCATGTGAACCAAGGAATTGACGAGGACGAAAAAGATGGAGATTTGTTAATGAATCATTTAATTTGGTAGGTTATATGCAAATAGCTTCTCGTTCTAGTTTTCAATACTCTGATTGACTGTCAATTTTGTTGAGTTCTCACTGTTTTTCTTAGCATTGGTATCTTCATCTTGAATGCATGATATTTGGGGTAACGTATCTTCCTTTTACTTTTACATTGCCAAGTCTCTATCAAATGACCTTTTCACATCAGTAGCTTACTACTAAATCAGATGTTATTATATGATATATTTATGATTATGAAGAAAAGTACATGCACTAGATGTCATGGAGCAAATAGAAAATATGGTGGATTAGCTTGCATTTTCTATTAGTAATAATACAACGTAATTGGTATTACCAGAACACCTAAGGATAACGAGTGCTCCGGATTTTAGAAACTTCAAATATTGATAATTTAGGTAGATGGCCAACAATGTATGCTAGCTACTCAGATCCCTGCCTCTTATTTCTTTTTGTTTTTAGCATTTGAACATCACTTGATGGTGTGTTATCAAGTTGGTCTCTCTCGTCATCAGGCTTTGTTGATCTGTATTTGTACCGAGTGGCCCATAGGAGATAATGGAAGAAATTTAATCCACTTAATATGCACATTAGCCAATAAAACCTTTCAAGGTGATAATGATTCAAATTACTCCCGTAGAGCCAAGGTGTTTGCTGAAATCTACCTGTTATATGGTTTACTATTGATACAATCACCGAGCTAAGGTAGTAACCCATGGCTAGTGATGCCCAAGAGAGTGCTGTTGTCAATGACCTCATGCTTAAAGGGGCCTCAGTGAAGAAGAATTCCATTAGGCCAGCTAAGCTGAAGAGATCAGCTGATCCCAGGAACAGATATTGCAATGCTACCCAAAGAAATGTGATAGGCAGTGGTTCAGTTGAATTCATTAATCCAGATTGTTCGGCAACCCTCTTCCGCTTCATCTCCACCAGAGCTGCAACAGCCATAGCTACAACTGATAGGAATAGCCCGGTTCCAATCCGTTGTAGATGAGTAATGCCCATTTCGCTCTTAGTCACTGCCCTGGCAAAGGGGATTATCATATGGTTATATACAGGTGCCAGTATCATTGTGAATATGACTGGAAATATTGGAAGAGAAGCTGGTGGAACTTTTAGAGCTCCAATATATGTGTTCATAGTGGCTGCTTGTTGTACCGAAAATGTGGAAAGCTGAGCAAGGCAACAGTTAAGCATAACGGTAGACATAAATATTGGCACGACCTGGACGACTATTTTCACGTCTTGTACTTGTTTGACTGTGCATTGCAGTGATGGGTAGGTAGCGTTCTCCACTGTTGCTTTAGCAATGGATTTGAGGTCCTTCATTTCAGTTTGAATTTCTGTGTTTAGATCTCCATGTCCTTCTTCCGCACTAATCTCAGTTGTGTATTGGGGGGTTTCCCTCGTGTCTAACACATTACCAATAGAGTTCTTAGGGAATAGAGAGTTGGAAAATGCCGCCACAAGAACCTGTACGAATAATTCAATGTGAATTACTCTACCTTAATGTAGTACTTATGTTCAGGATGCCTACTAATAACAGAACCATACCTTAAAAATGGTTGTCATTGGGCTTCCTGTGGGAACTTTGATCCTGTAAGTCCTAGATCCGAGGAGGAAAATGACAATTGAGCTCAATATAGCTACGGTTGAGATACCGAAGCCCCACTGCCAGCCTTTATTATCTTCTATCCACACTACTAATGTCACTGCAATCAGTGCTCCACAAGCAAGACAGAAGATGTAATAATTGAAAAAGCTAGATCTGTGCTTCCTTCCTTGTGGCGTATTCTCATCGAATTGCTCCGCTCCATGTGAAGGAAGTGAACCTTTTATCCCTCCAACACCCAAGGCCACCAGGTAGAGGCCAGAAAATAACATTGCTATGTGGCCACCACCTACTTCTTTGCATGGGGCGTTTCTGTTTACTGATGCACAGATGGGCTGCCTCAGGGAAGGTATGCAAGCTTGCAATGTCAGCATTAATAGTCCCTGTTCCAGTATTTAGATTAGTAACAGTTCATGTGACATGCCATCCTACTTACTGCATGTCTCATGCTATAATCTTCTGAAGGGTATGTGTCTCGTATTTTTTCCCAGTCTGACCAAGTTCTAAAGAAGCAGAATGTTCATCATCGTCGTAGGAAACTTAGGCACTTCCTTTTGAGATCCTTAAAGTGGTTCCTGAAAAACTAGTAAGTCCATGCAGTCTATTTTTCCGGCGACAGGAAAAAAGCCGTGGATGGTTCTGAATAAAAGCCTTGATCACTTGATAATTTTACCTGGTGAAGTCTGATGAAGGAACTATGGTGCTGATACACTATTTGATATATACTGAGCTTTCCATTATTTCTCCATGAAAGCTGAAGTAACATTTTATTATCGTATGCCTTTTTCGTTAAAAATTGACCTGAAAATGAGCTATACTGAATTTCTGTGCCATCGGTCATCAATCAGGTGATTGCGCCATGGGCCCATTTTTGCATTCCTGATCTCTAATTGGCTAGAAAAATTAAAGGCATGTGGAATTTGGTGTACATCATTTGTTCATTTAGTAATTAATTTTTATTTCTATTATGCTGCTGACCCCATAAGTTAATAAATGGTGTGGATGGAAATATATGTGATGTGGGGTAGATAAAGTTATGGAGTGATTTTTATGCTTGCTAGTTTTTAGTATATGTCTGCTAATATACCTAGCATATCCAGGACAACTATTTGAGTGTGGCATCGTTGTTTCTTCCACAGAATACCTCCAAGATCCTTATGACAATATCTTATGGACTGCTTGGAAATTCCATCAGATTCTGTTTTCTCAAGTACGGACCTAAAACAACTGACTGTTTTCTCATAACTGCTGTCATGGTTAATGACGCATACCTGCCATTGATGTTCTATTCCTTTTGTCCAATTTCCTGTGATGTTATCAAGGTCCAGATTGACATTCTACTCTATCTACTTGTGTCTTTTGGTATAGCAGACAGTACAAAGCTGGGGGGGGGGGTTTGATCTCAAAAAAGTTAAACTAATGTTATCTGGTTAGTGCATGTTATCGAACAAAAGATAATGTCAAAGAGACAGATATCTTACCATAAATTCTATTGTTGCACTTATGATATAGATGTAATAGGTGGAGAAGAAATCAGATGAGAGTCCGCCAAGTAGAGCAAGGAAGAAAGAAGTTCCCATAAAGTTTGTAACTATGTTGGCTGAAGCAGATGGAGAAAAATTCATGAACTTCGATAAATAAAGGACTAGATTGCTCGCATTTGCCAGGTATGCTAAGTTCTCCAAAATCTCCACCACTACATCCACAATTGAAAACAATCAGATTGATAGTTTGTTACAAGCTATATTTTACTATTAATGACTAAGTTCAGACAGATTATAATTACTAATTCATGAATATCAGTTGTAGCATTCATGAAAAGAGATGTGGTTTACAGACCCAATACAAAGGAGGCAGCAACAGCTCCACCATGACATTCTTTAATGGCTGCCCTGTTTCTCCAGTCCACATAGCCTTCCCACATGGTGAAACCCTGCTCATGATCCTGCAGTGTAATGCACATAAATTAAGTACAGATTTTCTGGGCGGAACATAAAATAAAAAAGGAAATGAGAGCTGTAATGCACCATCTGTGTGTATGTGTTTATATGTTAAGTTTCAGGAATCTTGATATAGGAGTCCCAAGTTAGAAGTTTTCCAGTCTAACAAGGAAGCTACACCAATGTCACCTTTAAATACTGGATGGACGAGGATGTTCAAGTTGTGTGGAAAAATCTGGATCTCTGATTTTGACCCTGCATTAAGGGTGTGTTTGGTAGGACGAAAAATTTTCTCTTAGAAAATAAGTGGGTGTCTTACTTATTTTCTAGTATTTGGTTAGCAAAAGATATTGGCCAAACACACTTTATATAATCTAGAAAAAAATTGATGGCGAGGGTGGAGTGTAGGAATGTGGGGATAAGTGTCTATGAGGTCTAGTGTGTTAAAGGTTAGGGAGGAGACAATTAATGTGGAATGAGGGGATAAAACTTGTTCATTACTATTTTCAGAATGGTTTCCGTTACATAGTTGACATGGGATAATTTACTGTATATTGAATTTAATTGCTGGGTTCATTTTAGTTCTTTTACTGCCAACATTTCTTTTTTCTGTATATGTGTGTGAAATTTCTTCCTTCTATCACAAATTGCTCTATCTTTGTCTTGATGCTCTTCTGTAAAATGAGGTGGTTCATTATAGTCACTTATCTATATAGATCAGTCGGTTTCTACTTCACGTGATTGTTGTCCTTGGCTGTGTCTTAGAAAGGTTTTCAACTCTCTAGTTCCTTCTTTTTGGTACTTGAGTTAACCTGTTAATTTTATCTTATCATCTAGTGGAACTCATGTCTGCAAGTTTCCCATGTGGACCCTCATTATTTATGGGAATCATACTCCAAAATTCACCAAATTGAGTGGCTGGAAGTTCTTAAAGTCATAGCCATTAGCATTTGCTTCCATCTAATGTCCTGTCAAACTCTGCTGTGTAAGCAAGCACTTTTAAGTAGATGACAAAAAATTAAGAAAACGTAAAAGTATTAGCATGTCCACACTCCAGAGTAAAAATAATACTAAATGTTTTTCAAGTTTACTCATTTGAGTGTTATCAAGTTGAAGCGACTAGCCTTTTCAATTGCACTGAGGCAGAGGGATTGTAATTATATGGTTCCCTTAAAAATTATTGATGTATGCTTGAGATCAATCATGAGATATTTACCTAAGTTCCCCGGAAACTGGAACTTATGAAATTCTAGCATGTGACATTCTATAGTCTTCACACCAAATTAATGTGATTCAAGTTTTTTGTTTTTGGAATAAAGACATGATATTCCATTTCTAATTTTGAAGTTTATGTTTTAGCAGCTTTATTTGCATATCTCATATGAGTCAATAGGCCAAGATTAGATAAATTATCTTAACTTTGTTGATCCAATAGTTTCTAAATTTTTCTAGGATATTTTGGTTAATATGATTTGACAGTAGAATAAATCCATCATTGATTTAAACACATGTTGTAAGCTATGATGAAATACCAAGACACATCATGTCTCCTTTGAATTTTTTCCTGATTCTCGAATGATTTGTTCTTATCCGCTTTCTGGATGGTTCTTTTTTTATTTTTAGACCAGGGAGGGAATGGAGCAGGAAGCAGTGCCAGGCATGCCTGAGACATTTCCAGATGTGATGGTGGAAGTTCCAAAAATCTTAAGATACGTACTTTGTCATGTCATTCTAGTGATGTTTTTATCTATTGCTATTTCTGTATTAATATTGGTGTCCGGATAAGCTTGCGTGCACCTCGACTAATTCCATGGTACCTGTTTCTTCCTATATTTAGTTATGTCAAAAAACAGTTATTAGAAGTGTTTAGCTTAGGTTCCAGTTTTAGTTTTTCTATTGCAGTGTCTTAGTGTCACAAACTTGAGCATTAACCTGTAAGCAGCCTCCTAAAATGTGCACAAAGAGCATCTTTAGATTCAGGTATCCACTGTATCACTATTGCATCTGCTTTTCCAAAACCTTGTGTTGGGTGCTTTGAGCACTGCTGCTATTTTCTAGATCAGACCTGTAAGAACTTAATAACTTCAGCACATCTGAATGTTATTTTGCATTACCACAGCAGAAAGTTTGATACTAGACCGGTAATGATTGATGGATGTGGTTTTATTTTTTGTCTATCAAATTGAAGTGTTACGATTAGGTTCTGGTTTCATGACGTGGATTGCAAATTTACAAGGCATTATTAGTCATATATGGAATGTTGAAGCTTCTGGAAAGGTTGAAGTTTGTGAAATTACTGTTAGGTTTCGCAACTGTGTTTCTCTCTCTTGTTTTTTGGAAATTCCTCCTGTATTACTTGGTCTTTTCTTTTTTCATCTTCTGTGTTCTGGTAATAATCTCCTATAAAACATGTGCACAAATTCATCATTATCTGAAGTCAGTTAGCTCTGTATCAAGATGCCTGTTCACATCCACCATCCCTTTATTTTGGTTGACTTCAGATGTTCAACATCCTTCTTATGCTCAACTAAAGGAGTTGGAAAGCCTTAATTAAAGACATGTCTGGTTATGCAAAGTTAAGAATGCATCTTTTAAGTGTCTGGAATCTGGAATCTTATCAATACCCCAGGTTATGATAAACAGATCATGCTTCAACTAACCTTAGGCCAAAAGTAGTAAAAATAATAACTATGTTTGATGCCTAATGCTATTCCTATTGGGACCTTATCCGAGTATGTCGTGATCAATCTGAAAGCCCTCATTTTGGCCAGGAAATCTACTAGTTAAGAAATTGGTGTATTTGGTTTAAAATTTCCTCCTCCTTACTTTCCGTGGCTCACAGAAGTGCATCTTTTTATCTTTGTTTAAACTTCATGTTATTGCATGGCTTAACTTTTTTTTTCTGATTCCTTGATTGTTTACTTCGTTATCTTGGGAAATTTCAAGAAAAAAGCCATTAGCCACATAGTTTTTAAGACTATTGTGGTGTGCCAGTCATATTTGTCCTCTATAGAAAGCCGGTGAATTGGAGTGGGATGTGAAGTTAATCCAATTGTACTCTTTTATTACAGAGACAGGAAGTGTTTGCTATGAAAAGGACATGGAGAGGAAAAGGCTTACCTGATTGGTTGCTTGGTGTCAGCACATGTGCCCTTTTCCTTCTGAAAGAGGGAATTGTAGTGGACTAGTGGTGCTATCTTGAAAGGTAAGTCGACCATTTGAATGCCTTATCTGGAACGTGTCAGATATATTTTTCTAAAACAAAACTAAATCAGTTTATAGCTACACCACAATCTAAAATATTACTCCAGCTTGGTGTAGATTTCAGCAAATGATTCATATACCAACAAAGTGTTCAGCAAAATTGGTTCCAAAATACTATTGATATGCATGCCTAGTATGAACAAGTTAGATGCTTTGCTCAATTGTGGTCATTCTTTTTACCTTACTGGCCCGAGAGGCACAGCTAGGTCACCATTAATTTATTATCGATTCTTCTTGAAAGTTTTTTAGGTATAGAAATGATTAGGAACAGTCCCATTCTGAAGAACATCAAAGTACTAGGGAGAGCTTGAATGTTACCCCCTATAATTAATGACATAGAATGTACAAGTTCTCAATTATTTGTCAGGACTGTTTTACTCTTCCATCAAGGATTATGTTGGGATAGATAGGATTTCTCCAAACTTAATCAGAGATCTCGAGTTCAAGCTCCATGTATTTTAAAAAAAAAAAAGGACTGCTCGGAAACACTTCTCACTTTAATGGGTGTTACACGATGCAAATTCAAATTAGTCTAGGCTCCAATGTAGGTACTGAATACCGACTAAGGAAACGCAGAAAAGACAGTTGCACTTTCTTGAGAATGTTGGTAGGAATGTGTTCAAATCAGACCATTTCATTATATGAGCGAGCATACTGTTTATTGAAGTTGAAAAGACACTAAATTAAGGAATCTGTATGGTAGGTAACTTGCTAAAAATATCTCCAGTACACACTCATTTGATAGTTTTAAAGGTCCTTCTGACCTTTATGAGACGCAAAGTGCTAATTGATCGTACCGACTGTGAATGGTACCAACAAACTTGAGGGGTCTCAACCACAAACTAACTTATTGTGCTAACACTATAGAGTAGTACATTATTACCGAACTTGTGTTTTATTCACCTTCTTTTGGTTTGGTATATGATCCATCCTATAAGGTCTTTGGGACAATTTAGAGTGGCCTTTTTATGAAGCAAATTGCTTCATACTAGGCTGTCTTATTTGCTGATTAGGTCATCACTTCTTAACTACACAAGTTTTGCATCTTCCTGCCAAACAATGAATCATATCGCAATCGAGACTTTATTGTTACTAAATCATAATGGGATGCATGGTAGTGCCTAATTTTTACCTTGGTTGTGACATCATTGGTGAAAGAAAAACAAAAGGTCATAAAATTGCATAATTTTTACCACATTCGTCACTTTTTGGCTATGAACTAGATGGTCTCTATTGTCCACATTTATAAAGAGTCTAATTAGATAGCTGATAATTTAGCCAATTTGGTTATTTAAGAATTTTGCTTTGACTGATATTCACATGTGTCTACTTTTGGGGTCTCATCCCCCCACCCCCTCTCTAGTTTCAGACTAATTTCTTATTGTTTTTAATTCTGATATTATCAAAAATGTATCTAAATTTATCTATTATTGTTTAGTTTCACACTTAAATTATTCGTTATAACTTATAAGTGTTGGAAACATATCTCAATGTTGACTAAATCAATTTTGGACAAATTTTGAGTTGGGCTTGGTTTTTGTATTTGGTTCTCTTGGACAAATTCTGAGTTGGGCTTGAAAATTGGAGTCATAGTGATCGCCGTGTCATGGAAGAATTATATTAAATAGCCGCTTATCATTTAAATTGAGGTAGAAAATTATTGATAAATGTATAATATATGAATAACCATATAGGTAGTAATATGTATAATGGTTAATGTCTACTTAGTTTGATAGAAAAAGTAAATAAAGAATTTGGCTAAAAGATACTAATCTTATATTTACTCCTTAATCATATTATATAGCCTTTGAAATCAATGTGGCAACATTTTTTACAAGTTTATATTAGAAAATAATAATCATTTAGAATTTGTAATTTGAAAAATAATCATAGTCATTAAAAATAGCGATTCTTTCTTATGGATTTCAAATTTTAAAAAGTGAAGCTCCACAATACCCCAGACAGATTTCAAAATTTATGATAGTATTTTCATTTGTTTAAGTTGAAGATTTATTATAACCTTGTCATGGTGTTTTCGCCTTAAAAGTTCATATTTATCAATCAATTTTCAATTACTAATTTTTATTATTTTTATTTTAAGTCGATCGTAGAGTTGGTAAGTACGTACAGTCCTTACATTTTACAATTACAACCATATAAAAAATAACTTAAATCATCTTTTTGAGATGTATAAATATTAGAGGACTAGAAGTTCAAGCTCCAGGTCATACAAAATATTATATATAGTATTAGGTGGTTTACTTCGATTTTAGACATTATCGATTACGGATATGTTAAATCATTATCAAATTAATTCTAAATCGTAATACATGACCAATAAATCAATACCATTATTTTTTTCAATTTGGGTTATTTGTTTATATACTACTTTAAAAAATTAAAGTAGAAGTAAAAAAAATAGATCACATTCAGCTCCCATGTCTTACTCTTTCCACTTTCTCGATCCTATCTTTATAATATATGTAAACCTTAAAAGAAGATTGTAATAAAGGTGTATCAGATACTAATTCCAGAATCACTATTTTATGTTCTGCCATATCTTTCTATCTTCCTTTAATCTATGTCTTCTCTTCCTTTCTCATTTAGGTAAATTCTTTTTTATTCCCCACATATATTGATGGCATAGTATATATATTAGACTCTAAACTTAGTTTCAAATTTTAACTTTGATCTTTAACTTTCATAATGTACAAACGTACACTTTAACTATCCAACTTTTAAATAAATAAACACATTAATCCTACATGGCACAATACATGTAAGACACCACGTAGGACAAAAAAAAATGACATGTAGAACATGTGTGTCTATTTTTTCAACTTTTTACAAGTTTAATTGTCAACTGTGCACATTCATAAATGTGATTTGAAGTCAAGTTAAAAAATATTTTTATGTATTATGCCCTTTTAATCCTCAATAGATATATTAAGTCACTGCTATCAACAAGGATTGTGGTAACTGCTCGAATATTAAATACTTCGTCATTTTTAGAAGTTTTGAATTTGTATTCTTTTTAAGTACAAACTCGCCCTTAGTAGCCTCAAATTTATTTTTCATTATCCACCCAACTTTTATAGCGTCTTATAGAATATAAAACATGTTTTCATTTGTGCGTGCCAACAACTTAAATCCCTTGCTCACTTTAGTTACATTCTTAAAAAGGGGAAATTAGTACATTAATTTAGTATTTTAGAAGTGAGGAGTTAAATTTCCTTTTTTTAACATCAAAAAAATAAAAAGAAAAGTTTATCAGCTCAGATCAAAAATTTTAGTTGTCTATCATAATTAAGTGATAAATTAAAAATAATTTATTTTTAGTAATTCGTCATAGTAGCATATAAACTCTCTCTCTCCTTTTTTAATAAAAAAATTATATATATAACATGTTTACATCAAATTAATAAATATAAATATATACGTAATATATTTCAACTCCATTATCTCAAGGTATAAATAACGTCTACGTACAATATTATTATCTCTAAATTTCACTTGTAAGATCATCGTGAATATTTTTTCTCGTTTTTCGTTTATCTGGGCCGACTAGATAAGCACAATAAGTGGAGGATACCTACTTATAAAAGTCAACTCTTGACTTTCATTCTATGAACATGCCAGATGTTTCATCAATCCTTTTTTAATAGTTTCTATCACCTTTGATTTCAACATAATTTTACTACTACATTGCTCAAGTCAAAAGATTAGTACCTGTCTAATACGCAAAGATTAAAAAGTCTTAAAGATCGATTTATTTTCATGCTTTTTGTTGATATTTGATATTTTTATCAAAATTTTAATTAATTTAATTTTGTATTATAATGAGATCTATATAAAAAAATATTTCTCGTAAGATTTTCTTTCATAATAAAGAAACATTATCAATCTCGACCTCGATAATCTAAAAGTTGATTAATCAATCACGCACGGACGAGCTCAGTGAGAAGAAAACATATGAAGTATTTACAGGTAGATGTCTTATGTCAAGGGAGTTAGTTCCGAGAGAGTAATTATTTGTTTCGTCTCTTAATATTTTTCCTTTTCAAAAGTTTATTTAACTAATTTAATATTTTAAATTTTAAAATTATACCATAAGTAATGTAGATTATCATCTCAACATGTTAATTTCATAAAAATGTTAATTCAAGTTTATATAGTTGAGGACATATTTTAAATAGTTATATGAGTTTAAATATCAATTGAAACAAATTAGAAGTCCAATATTGGGAGGATGAAAAATTAGTCTCCTTATATGGACTTGGACGAACCTTCTCTATATTTAAATAATGTATATTTAAAGTTGAACACACTTGGCAAAAGTTATGTCTTTCGCTTAGTTGTAATGAGTGTTCATTTGAAATGAAGGAGTTTTGGGTTTAAACCACAAATAAAATAATATTATTTTATTTTATTTTGAGAGTCACATATAATTATTTTTTTAACATTTTTAATAAAAGTTTATTTTAACAATCGCACACTATTACTTTTAAACGATCTTCATAAAATTTCTAACTTCGCCATCGATACAAACCTCCAGCAAACTTTTAAAATTCAATTTTGGTCGTGTGTCATATTTTATAGAAACAAATCGTAATATATTTATTTTTAAATGAAAAAAGATAAATTTAAGAGATAGTCATAAAAATTAAGCCCAAGTTATAACTAGAAAAATGTTTTTTCAAATGGTGAAATGACAAGTGGAATTGAGATGCTACAGTTACAAGGCCGTTGTCGTAGCAACATGTCTTTTTGTGCAACGTGTCAAGTAAATAGGAGCGAAGTGAGTAACAGTTTATGTTTTTGTAATTGCCCTTTCAAATTTTAAAAAGATTTCGATCAGTTTTTTATTTTTTATTTAATTTGAAAGAAAAAACACAAAAAGTTGAAAAAGGCAAAGAGAAAGAGCAACAATATACGTCACCCCACCGACTGATTGGGACTTTGTTTTCATCTCTCTATTTTTATATTTACCAATTTATCACCAACTGCTTTGAACTGAATTCTAGAAAAATTGCAATACTAAATTTTCTGTAGATCTGTATCTTGAAGAGATACATATATATTTGTATATTTATATATTTATGTATATATATGTATAAAATTAAGACGAGTTAATAGTTTTAAGAACATATATATATTTGTATTTATTTTTTCTTATTCTTATTCTAAGAATATATGTTTATACGTAAATACATTGAAAACAAAGAGATATATTTATAAGCTTTGAACTTGAGAAAAGTGTTTGATTTATGATAACTTAAAATTTAATGCTTGTATTATATACTACTATGAAATAGATACACGTTAATTAATATAAAAAGAGTGTAAAATAACGATACACAAATGTATTTGTATGTCAAGTGAATGCATGTATGATATTTAACATTAAAAATGTGAAACTTGAATATATTTTAATATGAGATATTTCTCCAAAGTATGTATAACTTGCGCTCAAAATATGAAGTTATGATTTTAATTTTTCAGTTTTGCATTCACATATAATTGAAAATCGTGATTTAAAAATTTAAATTTTCCGTAAAGTATGATTTGCAATATTATTTTTTAAAAAACTTTTATTTTGTGAAATATAACACTAGACTCATAAGTTTATATAATTTATAAAAGAAAGAGTAATCTTTTAAATTTTTGTAAGAAATTATAATGCACGATATGATCTATAATTTGGTAATTATAAAATAAAAAAAATTTAATATTTTCATAACTTATGTGAAAAGATACACAATTTATTTTTTTTAAAAAAAAATTATCTAAACTATTTCAACTTTATATTAATTTTGATTTTATATTATGATTTTATATAGTTGGTTAAAATATGATTTTATATAGCAGGTTAAAATGGTCCCTTTAATTAATAACACTCACTAGGTGACCAAAGCTTAAAATTATTTTTGGTTATAAGTAGTCTGTTGGCAAAGAGAAATGAATCAAAAACACTTCAGTCACATCTCTTCTCTGCTCCAACACACCCTCTTTGCTCTGCTTTATTCCCAAAAAAAAAAATCAACAAAATTTCTGTTTTTGGTTCTGGAACTTGGCTATCTTTTTTTTTGGTTCATAATCATATCCTTGTATTGAATTTGTAAGCAAGGGTGATGATGTTTATGGTGATCGGCAGTAGGTGCTCTCACACTTCCCACATCACTGAAATCATAATCACAAGCTTCTTTCGCCACAAGCTATAGATCTTTACTAATTCCATATAGTATATAGTTTTAATACAAGAATACAATATATATATATATATTAAAGGGGGTATTTATCAAGAACCCCAAATTCTTAATTACATAACGAAACGAGCGGATATGGGTGTTTCTTGAAAAGATCTCTGTTTTATAATTTAAAAAAATTTGTCTGTAGAATTCGAAGCTATGATGGCTCCAGGGATTCTCTATGGTGGTTCTTCTAATTTCGATGGCGTTTTTACTCAAAAACAGAGAGACGTGTTTTCTTCATCTACTGCACCGAAAGGGCATCTTGG